CACCCACACCCACCCACACCCACACCCACACCCACACCCATTTTAAACAGGAAAAAAAAATCTTCACAACATATGTAAAATTTAGCCCGCAGTATTTTAAAGTGACTGAATAGCAACTGATATACTGTACATGATTGATGCATTTTAACTGGAAAAATGAACAGTCATAGACACTATTTGATAAACAACTCTACTAGAGCGAAAAAAAGCATTATTTCATCAAGGTTGAAGTAGCTTGAAATAAAATCAACATAGTCTGAAAGATGATTGCATTTCGTTATGTAAATAGAGAAATGTTGAATGTATTTGTATTGGTTTCGTTGATGCTTGAGCGCAGTTTTTTCTTCCTATGAAGAGAAATTGACACTCTCTTTTTTATTTTTGATGGCGATGCAATTATTAACAACATGAAAATGCTTCATTTTGAATTTCTTTCGTGTTTGTACACGTGATAATAAAACTCCAGTATTTATTTTGATGAAGTATAGTTGTTAAAAATTCATAGATAATGTGTTTTTCAGACTGAGAATGAACAGTATCGATCAAAATTCATCAACAAATAACAAACAACGATCATTTAGACGAACTAGAAATCTCGAACTATATTCCGTAGTCATTTTCAGTCCAGATTTGGCATCGTTAGTTGAATTTCAAGTTAAACTTGAAAAAATAGTTGATTATATAACAATATTTGATAATCAAGACGATGCCACGAATTATATTGAACAGAATGACTCCGATCTTATTATATTTATTGCTTCTATCGAATTATGTGAGGCAGTCATTAAATACACATATGATCTCCAGCAAGTGTATCAAATTTATATTTATAATCCAACAAACGCTATATCTCAATGGACAAATAACTATAAAAAGGTATGGCATTGATAGATATCAGTGCTTGATCGTTTATGAATTATTTCAGATTAAAGCTGTATTGTGTAACTCAGATGCACTATTAGAAACATTACATGAGACATTCAATGCCAGAAGCAATGATGGAGAATCATTTTTGAAATTCGATCGTTCAACGTACATAGTTTGGTATTTGCGATTCATTCACTTATTAATTAACATCAACAAAGAAAATAACGATCGACAACCATTAATTGATTATTTAAAGTCTTACTATGCTAATTCGCCAATACTGGAACATGTTCAAAAATTTGAACGTGAATATTCACCTTTAGCAGCAATAGATTGGTATACAAGGGATAGTTTTGTTTATCGTATACTCAATAAAGCTTTTCGATCATTCAACTTTGAAATTTTGTTTTTATTTCGATTTTTTATTGCTGATTTATATCAACAACTTTCTAGTCTAGATGCTGATAAAAATATTTCAGCGCATGCTGTCTATTACCGTGGTCAATTAATGCATAAAAGTGAAATTGAAACTCTGAAAAAAGACCAACACATTTGTAGTGCCAGTTTTTTATCGACAACATGTAATCGTGATATAGCGTTAAATTTCTTTACGTGTGTATCTACTCCTTGTTCATCAACTAATGATCCTCAATCAGTTTTATTTATCATCCACCCAACTGAGTTCAATTACAAGCAATTAATATTTGCTGACATATCGGAATTGAGTAATTTTGGCAATGCCGAACAGGAAGTTTTATTTGCGGTTGGTTCATATTTCCGAATAGATCAAATTTCTTTCGATGAAGATATCAATCTGTGGACTATAGAATTAGTAGAGCAGTATATCGAAGAAAAATTGGTTGATCTTAAAAGACCTTTCTATATTGATATAATCGCTGTTGGTTTTTATTTACTTGTTCAAGATGATGATTTTCAATGTGTGAAGAACTATTATGAAATATTGTTAAAGGAATCGAACTCATTACTATGGATTGTTTCGTGTTATGTTGGATTAGGCTTAATTGAATATTATAAAAAAAATTATTTCATAGCATTAGAAAAGTTTGACGATGCTATGAAGATAATCGAAGAAGAAAAGCTTGAAAAGACGTGTGAAATGATAGGAAATATTTATTGTATACTTGCAAATGTTTATAGAGAGATGACAGACTATGACATGGCGCTGTATTTTTATAAAGAAGCTTTGAAAACAGATAAAATTAATTATTTGATTGATAAAAAACATTCTTTTTGGGATATGTACATTTACAAACCTAAACTTAATTCATTTGTAAAAGATGACAAATATTTTTTTTACTGCGATCGAATCTTACTGAATATGGTAGTACTCTACAAAACAACTGAACAGTGGACTTTGGCAATGGAGACTTATGAAAAAATTTGGACCAATTCTCATGAGCGCGATCAAACTGGTGAAGTGGAAGTATTCGTCAAAATATTAGGACATACTGAAAACAACAGTAATGCACATCATTTAACTGATAAAAATCGAAAGTTTCTTGGTGGTAAAACTATTTCGAGATTCTTAGACAAGCACCAAAAACACAATGTGTTATATGCTTATGCTGAATTAGCTGATCATCATTTGAAGTACAATTCTCTCGATCATGCATTTTTATATTATCAAGAAGTTCTTCAATGTGAACTGAAAATTGATTCGCACCTAATCCTTCGATGTCTCTATGGTATCGGAAACATTTATGAAATGCGCAAAGAGTATTCTTCAGCTATAGAATGGCTTAAAAAAGGCATCGATTATAGTATAAAGGATACATCAGATATTGGTATGGGCTTGATAGATATTTATAAAAAGTCTTTATCAATATTCAATGAAAAGCTAAATGATACATATTCATCAATTATTTATATGACGGAAATAATTAACAATTTGATTGGAAATACAGATAGTATTGAAAAAAGAAATGATTTAATAGCGAAAGTTTATAAAACAACAATTCAATTTTATCATTATCATGATAAAACCCAAATTGAATCAATATGCAACCATATTCATCAAGTTTTAGAGAAAATTAAAATTCATGATCAAGGTTGGAAAAAATGGTTATGTATCGGATCGACGTGTATTTGGGAGATATTTTATGAAGATTATCATAATTGTAACCCTATCATAGACGAGAACAATATTATCTATCTGAAATTATATCAAAAAATATTTGCTATTCTTTCAAAGAACACCTCAAATAAATTACAAACTGAAATCAATCGCTGTGAAAAATTTCTCAATCATTTAGAATATTCCATGTTAGATTTTCAGAGTTTCGTTATACAATAATCAGTAGTATCTAATGAATAAAGCAATCTTCGTCTCAAATTAAATATTTCATTATTCCAATAATCATTTTCAATATTAATGATCAAATACAGTTCGCAAATAATCTCATTTTGTTTATATGTGTTATTTTTTTATCAGTAGAATTATATATCGTATGCAGTGTATTGAGGGTGTGAGTGTGGATGTGGGTGTCAGTCGAGAGAAGACTCAAACACCTACACCCAGGGCCGCGTCCACATCTACCTCCATCCACACCCAGATACCCTCGTGTGAATAATTCTGTTTAACAAACCGAACACAAGAAAAAGAAAATCTCACAGTTTGTAATGTTTAAATCAGACGATAACGCAACTTATCATCAATCGCATGTATTGTATATAGAAATTACGTTTTTAGTTTTATATAATAGAAAAATAAATAAAGAGCACGTGAAAACAAATACATTATGTAATAGTAAAAAGGAAAGATAGAATATCATAATGAATCATCAAAGTTTTTGGTTCTTCTTGTTTGATAATACGAATTTAATTTTTCTCTTCTTCTATTTCTGTGTCGGCTTGTTGTAACCAAGTAAAAAAATCTTTTGTTGACATTTCAATAAGGGCATGCCCTGAACGAAAGACTTTTTCGATAAATTTATTGTCTTTATGAGAAATTTTTCCTTTTACCTTCAGTTTCGGATGGAGGGTGTGGGTGTGGGTGTGGTTGTGGGTGTGGGTGGGTGTGGGTGTGGGTGTGGATGTGGATGGGTGTGAGTGTGGGTGTAGGTGGGGTATGGTTGTGGGTGTGGATGGGTGTGGGTGGGTGTGGGTGAGTGTGGGTTTGGGTGTGGGTGTGGGTGTGGATGTGGGTGCGGGTGTGGGTGAGGAGAGGACAATACAAACACCCACACTTATACCCACGCCCATACCCACACCCATACCCACACACCGCCCACGCCTACACCCACACACCGCCCACACCCACACCCACACCACCCCACCCACACCCACACCCCACACCACCCCACACCCACACCCATTTCGAGAAAGGATGTGTTTTTCTCGAAAAACGACACATTTCGAGTATTTCGTACTTTTCGTCCGGAAGAAAGCATTTACTAAGAGTGAAAAGTAGATTTTCATGATCAGCAGCTCTCTCTCTATTAGGGGTTGGCAGTTACCGTTACCGTTCCCGGGTAACCGTAACGGGACCGTTACCAGTTACCCGGGAACTGGTAACGGTTCCGTTACCAGTTACCCGGGAACGGTAACGGTCCGTTACCAGTTACCCGGGAACGGGGTAACGGTACTACAATTGGGGCCACCTTTAGATCCTAAAGTCGTACTATTGGGGGATACCCTTAGGTCCTCAAGTGCTACTATTGGGAGACACCCTTAGGTCCTCAAGTGCTACTGTTGGGAGACACCCTTAGGTCCTCAAGTCCTATTAATGGAGAGTACCCTTTGACCCTCAAGTCCTATTATTGGGAGATACCCTTACGTCCTCAAGTCCAATTCTTGTAGGGTACCCTTGGGTCTTCAAGTCCTATTATTGGGGGGTACCCTTGTGTCCTCAACTCCTCCTATTAGGGGGTACCCTTTGACCCTCAAGTCCTATTATTGGGGAATACCCTTGGGTCCTCGAGGCCCAATGTTTAAGCAGCATACTCGCCGTATGGAACTGAGTAGGAGCCCATACATATACCCATCAATCGATAGAGCATCCTCGATAACCCTATGATTGGCCCGAACACGGCTATGCCTTGTCCGAACAATAAGAGAAAAAAGGGCTCCTGAAACCAGAGCTGGGCAAGTACGCACTTTTTCGAGTACGAGTACGAGTACGAGTACCGACCCTTCGAGTACGAGTATGAGTACGAGTACTAACCCCCCGAGTACGAGTACGAGTACGAGTACTAACCCCCCGAGTACGAGTACGAGTACGAGTACCAACCCCCCGAGTACGAGTACGAGTACGAGTACCTATCTCTCGAGTACGAGTGTCTACCTCGCGAGTACGAGTACAAGAACGAACCTTTTAAGTACACTGTAAAATAAATAGTGGAATACAAAAGCCTTTGGTTCTGTGTATAAGTTCCCAAAAACATTAAAGGCTATTTCATTCTACCCTTTTTTAAAAGTGTAGAAGTGCGTTTACCGTTCTATCTGATATCACTAAAAGTTTCTAAAAATATTTAGTGAGAAAAAATAGACTTATAGATCCCTTATATATCATATGTATATGCCAAAATAAAATATTGCAAAAGTGTAAAGTCAATATATTATTTTTATTTTCTTTTACTATCAACAGTCAAGTAAATCAAATTATAACAAAGCACCGTTACATTTAAGAAAAGTAAGTAAACAAACATTTTTTACACTTAATGATGCTCTATGTGGACGCATAAGAAAACCACTTTGAGAAAAAACGCGTTCTATGGGAGCCGATGTAGCCGGTACTGACAAGTATTTCAAACCAAGTTTATATAAACATGGATAAAGATGTTTTTTTGAAAAAAGTAAATTTTCTGTACTACTTTCTTCACATAAAAAAGCATCAAATTCAGTCAAAATTCTCGACTTATCATCGAAAGAACTTTTTTTTGTTTCATTAAAATAAGGAAAAAGACATTTTCTTTTACTATATGATTCAGTGCTCTTTGTTAAAACGTCAATATCACTTGATTCGCTTGTGTTCGATACATCGGCTCCCACGTTCCGTGACATAGAAAAATTTAATTTAGAAAAAAAGCGAACAAAGGCACTACGAATTTTTTCAAGAACACGTATTTTTACAACAGTATGAAGATTATCAAGCCATAATAGTTTAAAGCATGCATCAAAAAGTGGAGCAATAAGAAAAATCACATCTGAGAAACGTTCCGACATAGAAAAAGAATCGAAAGGTACATCAATTTCAAAATGACGAAGAAGTCCACTAAATCTAGCTTTAATTGATGAAATAAGAGTTTCACATAAGGAAGAGAGAATTAAAGTAGAAGAACTGAGTTCACGTTCAAGATCAAACAGTATACCAAGAACAGTAGGTGCAACAAGAGTAACAGTTGCATAAGATTCGCCTTGAGTTAATACAGTAGCTTCATTAAATAACTCAAACAAAGATACAAATTCTTCCAAAATTTTTCTATCTCTGCTATTAAGTATAAGATCATTTTTCTTCAAATCAGTTAAAATTGAATTAAGTGTTGAAGATGGAATACTAATAACTCTTTTCACTGTTTGAAATTGACTACTCCATCTGGTCCGAGTAGCTGTTGGAATAGAACAATTAATTTTTTCAAGTCGTTCTGCAAATGCTGTACTACAATGAGCAAGCTTAGCTAAACCAGCTACCTTTTTGAGAGATGATAATGCTGCACCACTTGCTTTTATTCCATCATTGACCACCAGCTGCAAACAATGACAAAAACATGGCAAACGTAGAAATTCTTCTTCACTTGTTGAATTCAATGTTGTTTGATAAATAGAATCATCAACTTCATATGTTTGTAATTGTTGTCGTTCACCAGTTGAATAATCATTAGATTCTTCATCATTTGATTCAGATTCATCATCTATTATTTCATCAAAATAATCTTCGAATCCAGGTAAAACAATATCATCAAAAGCAGCCAGGTTATTACTGGCATTATCAGTAATCAAACGAACAATTTTACCATTTAAATTATAAAGTTGTATTATACGATCGAATTCTGCTGAAAATTTTTCGCTTGTATGTTTTCCTTCAAGTTGTTCGAATGAAAGTAAAAATGATTTATATTTATCATCAATAATAGCATGTAAAGTAACACCGAAATAAGACCGCATGCGGCGGTCAGTCCATACATCGAGTGTTAGACTAACATGGCTTGATTGAGCACATATTTCTTGTAATTTTGCTGTGCATTTTTTATGTAAACTAGGTAAAAATGAACGAGTAAGATCACGTCTATTAACAGGTTTATATTTTGGATCAACGTCATTCATGAAATTCTTGAATGATATATGATCAACAATTGACAATGGAAGACCCATATTTATTATCAGATTTTGAATAATACTGTTGGTGAGTTGCTGTTGTCGTTTGTTGCTTGTTGAATCTAAATTTAGAAAATGTTGTATTCACTGGATATTCATAAAGCAAATATAAAATAACAAATACATGACATATCTCTAACACCAAGCATGAACTCACATATGCTAGAATATTTCTTTTACATAAACGTTAGCTTTATTATCTCGTCTTTTTTTCTCTCATAACAGTTATGAAAGTTATTAACACCTGTTTTACACCAAGAAAACACTTACATTTTTCACCATCAGGACTAAAAATAATATTTATTTTCGGCTGATTTGCGTCTTTAACAGGTTGATCCTGATTTTTTTTCCATTCATCAAACATAGGTTGATGTTTGTTCTTTAAATGCTTTAAAAAATTTGAAGTTGTTTTATAACTATCAGTAATAGATAATGAACAAATTCTACATTTTGAAGACCATCGATTTTTCTCCACGTTAACACATAAATCTATGAAAAACTCTTTGAGTACTGGTGGACATTGAATATCATCATGAATCATAATAAAGTCGGAATCAGTTTTATTCTTGGGTGTAGCTGAGTTAGAAGCCATAATAAACATAAACTAATAACAAAAGATGTATGATGAAAAATTAATACGTTCGAACAATTACGAGAATACCAACACGAGCAAATGAAAAGTTGTTCAAGATAACAATATGAACAACACCAACAAATAGAAAATTATTCAAAATAACAATTGAAGCAACAACAAATAGGAAGGTTTTCCAAAAAAAAGAAACAACAACAAATACAAAGTTGTTGAAAAAAAAATAGAAATAACAACAATAAATAAAAAATTGTTCAAAATAACAATACAAACGACAACAGCAAACAGAAAATTATTCAAAATAACAATTGAAGCAACAACAAATAGAAAGTTGTTCAAGATAACAATATAAACAACAACAAATATGAAGTTGTTGAAGAAAAAAGTAGAAACAACAATAAATATGAAGTTGTTGAAAAAAAATAGAAACAACAACAGATAGAAAGTTGTTCAAGATAACAATATAAACGACAACAGCAAACAGAAGATTATTCAAAATAACAATACAAACAACAACAAATAGACAGTTATTGAAACCAATCGATATTATTCATTATGCAATGAAGAAAGAAAAAAAGACTAATGGATAACGTAAACACGAATCCTATATATAGTATTACTAATGGATATAAGTGAATTAACAAAGAGGAGAACGAGAATAGAATATGGCGATTATTATAAGACTTTCTGTGGTGTAAATGCTCGTATGTATATTCACATTCATCTCGATAGAAAAGAAGCCATCAGTAGTTGGTTTCATTTTTAAACAACACACAGACATGATTATCTTTGCATAAAAAGTACTATACTTCTAAACTATTAAATATAAGAGCGGCGAGTACGTGTACGAGTACCACCCTCTCGAGTACGAGTACCAGTACGAGTACCGATCCCTCGAGTACGAGTACCAGTACGAGTACCGACCCCCCGAGTACGAGTACCAGTACGAGTACCGACTCCTCGAGTACGAGTACGAGTACGAGTACGAGCAAAATCGTACTCGAGTACGAGTACTTCGAGTATTTTGCCCAGCTCTGCCTGAAACCTGATTGGTCTATTTTTGAACCAATCAAATAGTGGGATTCTATTTCTCAGTGATGGGATTGGCGGAGACCCCCACATATACCCATCAATCGATAGA